GATGTTAAAGGTGTCGAGTTCATGGTTTATTTTCACATTAAAAAAGTAATCTTATCGATGAATTAATATTTATAATATAAAAGTGCTTTTTTAAAAAACAAAACAAAAACAAATCCTTAAGGCTCATTCTGTAACATTACAGTAGGGTTTTTCACCATTCCAGGAACTGTGCTACATGAGTTTTGTATGAATGGTAGAAACAGCAAAATCTCCAAACAGCAAAACAATTTGTCAATAATATTTCATCACTTTATACACATGAACTTTAACTATGTAAAAGAGCTATAAACAAACAAACCTCTCACATTATTTTCTTTATCATGAAGTGGGGCCAACGGATTTAATATTTTATTTGCAAACATGGCATTGAATAAATGTTATCTGCTGAGCTACGTCAAGTAGTTTGATACTCTAGGAGGCAGAATAATACAGACGTTGCTTGCACATCCTGCGATTCCTATTACAAAATTTGGGAGACCATCAAGTTCAAATAGTACATAAGCACGCTATTCACTCCATCAGTCACATGCTTGGCTGAGACGAAACTCTCAGGAAATGACAAACCACTCACATTGATGCAGTTCAAATGACGTGAATATACACTGGTACAAACAGCATGTGAATTAACCCCTCAAGATTAAGAACACACCTGTATTCATTATCATCAACAAATGGACACACCAATGGATGCATCATTTCAGCTCCAGCTATACTGCTTGAGGAAGGAATTGAGACAGACTTGCTGCAGATCGGCTTAGTATTTTGATTGGCTTCCTGCTTTTGGTCTCAAAGAGGCAAAATGGAAAAGCACTTTGCAGTTCGTTCTTGTCATGTATCATGTATGTTTTGTAGTTATGCTGTTAAAAAGAATATGACTCCCTTCCCTTCCTAATTCACTATGTATTGCTCTGACATTGCTACTTCTAATTAAATGGATAATAGGTTTGGCATAAATAATTCACCGCAAAGTGATCAAAATGCAGCAGTCATAGCCTCAGATTAGTATTGTCTAAGAAGAAAGTTATCTGCAACTACAAGGGTGTTTTGGAAAGTTAGGTCGAAGAAAGTTGCCCATGACATAGAGCTGGGAAGAGAGTCATAACTCAGGATGCAGTAGGTCCAAATTTCAGTTCCTGATATTTCCAGTTAGGACTGGGAGAGACCCCCTTGTCTAAAACCTTGGAGAGCTGCGGCCTGTGAAAATAAGAGTGAGCCAGACAGACCAAAAGGCAGTTCTCTGGGCTCCTTGATATTGCTGTTCCTTTCTGGCGCACCCTTGGAGACTGGGGAGGAAATGCCAACTGATTCAATAAATTAATAACTTCAAACCTTTCAATATATATATATACATATACATACATACATATATATACACACACACACACACACACACTTTAGAGCATAAATTACTGTACAGAATACTTCCCTTTCTTAAGTTGCTCAGTGAGTGTAAACAATAAAAACATGCCATTGTAATGACATACACAGAAGAACTGTATTGAGACCATGTAAATGCTAGCAGAAAGGTGCCAGACTTATAGATAGCGCTCTATCGCCTTTCCTGTTTTTTCAAAACAATGCTGGCACCAAGAGAAAAAACCCCTGTAACTATGGACTAATTGAGTTCTAAGTTAAGGAGTGCGAGAGGAATGGAAACAGATCATTATAACATGACAACATTAATTCCTAGCAGGAATTTCCTAAAGGTTGCTGATACTGTACAGTGGTACCTCAGGTTACATACGCTTCAGGTTACACACTCCGCTAACCCAGAAATAGTGCTTCAGGTTAAGAACTTTGCTTCAGGATGAGAACAGAAATTGTGCTCCGGTGGCACGGCGGCAGCGGGAGGCCCCATTAGCTAAAGTGGTGCTTCAGGTTAATAACAGTTTCAGGTTAAGAACAGACCTTCGGAACGAATTAAGTACTTAACCCGAGGTACCACTGTATAGTGGAAACTGCCCCCCCCCCTGCACTGGCATACAGCAGAATTACTGACATACACAAAAATGAATGAGTATAATCTGGGGCACATTTCCAACTGATGGCTAATGCTAACATATTACCAGGTGGGCTGTCCGATACATAATTGGCCACAATGCCTGCAATTGTGGCCTCTGGAAAAATGTGAATTCTGGCCAGCCATATCTGTGACCACCAGGTTCAAGTGATATTTACCCATGGCAAGCACTTGCCAAAGGATTGGTGGGCCTACATGAGCATCTTGAGTGAACCTGCATCAGACATGCACCTATATTTGTGGCCGCTTCATACAACTGCTAGTCATGTGATGGATACTTGAAATACTACTTGGAAAGCTTGCATGTAGTAATGTTACTTGTTCAAGTTAATATAAAAGTGATTTGCAAAGGCACAAAATAAGTAAATATGGGAATGCAGAAATAAAAAAGGCAGTTAAAAAAAACCCCAACAACCTACCAGCAGGCTGCCCAAGATGTACTGTTCATAGAAACCTATCACCACACAGGATTTGGCTTATGGGAAACCAAATGGCTAGGCATCTATCTTGCCCTCATTTCCCACTATTAGCAGGGACTTAGTAAATTTTTCCTCATCACATGATGCAACAGGTGGCCATGATCTCACATGGCAACACTGAGATTGACCATAGAGCAAATGGTTACCTCACCACACAAAATAGTCTGGGGGTGTTCCACTTGTAAAGATAATTTTTTCCAATAGTTTTATCTTCTATGTTAAAAAGATGTGCAGAAATAAAATGTCACCTTGTCTTACATTATATGGACTAGAGCAGCATTTCCCAACCTTGGGCCTCCAGCTGTTTTTGGACTACAACTCCCATAATCCTCAGCTAGCAAGACCAGTGGTCAGGGATGATGGGAATTGTAGTTCGAAAACAGCTGGAGGCCCAAGGTTGGGAAACACTGGACTAGAGCAATGGCTTCTCAGAAAATTGTGGGTTGAAATAGAATTATTATTTAACAAGATTTTGTTAAAATGATTTTCGGTTGCGCAAAAAAGAAGAGAAGATGATGATTTTGTGAAATCCAGTTGTGATTGTTTGCTACTATCGATCATTTAGACCACAATCCTAAACACACAGAACAGGTTGGACTGGGCAAAGGTGTTGCTCAGTTCTCCTGGCTGAACTGGCGTTCTAGTGACCAGAAGTGTCCATCAGCAACAAAGTTCCTTTCCACTAGCAGAGAGAGACATGTTTAATCCAAGTAGGTTTGTGAACCCTGGTTTTGTTTAAAAATTGCAGCCAAAAAGTGGAGGGAAATGGTCAATTGCAGTCTTGTGGATAGATGCATTAAGTACAAACTAAGGCAAGTGGTGCTGTGGGTTAAACCAGAGCCTAGGGCTTGCTGATCAGAAGGTCGGCGGTTCGAATCCCCGCAACGGGGTGAGCTCCCGTTGCTTGGTCCTAGCTCCTGCCAACCTAGCAGTTCGAAAGCACATCAAAGTACAAGTAGATAAACAGGTACTGCTACGGCGGGAAGGTAAATGGCATTTCAGTGCGCTGCTCTGGTTCGCCAGAAGCGGCTTAGTCATGCTGGCCACATGAGCCAGAAGCTGTACGCTGGCTCCCTCGGCCAATAAAGCGAGAAGAGCGCCGCAACCCCAGAGTCGGTCACGACTGGACCTAATGGTCAGGGATCCCTTTACCTTTAAGGGCTGAATATTTGCCCTCATTAAAAAAATAAAAATCTGGCTATATAAAAATCCTGTATAATTGGTGGAAATTTACATCTGAATGCTAATGTATAGTTCCAAAGGCAAACTATTTCAAGCTTTACACACTAGAAATTCATTCTTATCAGTGTTTTGGGGCTACAGGTAGAAACTCAGGAACTTATTCTGGGATAGCTGCCTCACACAGATTATAGGGACATTAACTGTGTTTGTAACCTATTCGTTCCATTTCTTTTATTTCCACCACCCATCTGCCTGCCCCAGTATTCAACAGTTAGCCTTACCTCTGTTGTATTTCCTATCTTCATATATAGTATAATGCCAAAATATTTATTTGCGGCATCTTCAGGGTCAACACTCCTTTAAATGGTTCTGAAAACAGTAATTTTATCAGTCTGAAAAACTATGGTATGTACACACAGGCGATACTCGTGAATGTTACAGGAACTTACAGAGCAGTCATGTGCGTGTTTACCTGGAAACAAACTACACAGTGTTCAATTGTGCTTACTCCCTAGAAAGTGTGTTTAGGATTGCATCCTTAATTTGTTGGCAATGTTCACTTCTGAAGAGATGAGTTGTTTAGTTTGAAAATTGTCTTGCATCTTTAGTACTGAAAACTGCAATGCCAAAATCAGTAAACGAAGCTCTGGCTTCATTTGTATGTATGTTGTATGTATGTTATTTTTTAAAAAAACTGAGGCCCTGCTCAAGTATCACATTCAGTATCAACTGAATTATAAATTCATTTTTCTGAAGTCAGTACTGAGAAATCTAACTAATGTTAATGGAATGACTAAATGTATTATGTGATTCAGAATGGGATGCAAAATAAGTATTGAACATTCCAGGATATAAATGCTGAACAATTAAGATTGATCAAAAACAAAAATGAAATTATTAAATAAGGTTCTGTATTCATTGGTCCTCAGAATCATAGTGAGATTCTTATACTGTATCACTTCCTGATCATTGGGTGGGTGAGAGAGAATTCTTCCTTTTTCTGTACCCATTGTGTGTATGTGTATATACTGTATGTGTGTATATTTTGTCTACTGTATTCAGGTGAGTATTCCATGCATCTGACAAAATGGACTCTGGCCCATGAAAGTTTGTGCCACAATACATTTGTTAATATTTAAAGGCTCCACAAGACACTTTCTTGTTTTCATTAAAAAAAAAAGAATAATCTATCAAAAGGACAAGACAGTTGATACGTCTTTCTCTGACTGAAATCGAATCTGATTATTGCTAGATTTGTTTTCTTGGTCAGCAGGCACTGAAGAGAATTTATAAATATGGAACAATAAAAAGCACAGGTATAGAAGAAAATAACGGATTATTTTTAGTACAGAAGGCAGCAAACCAAGCTTTGCACATAAACAGAATTGAATGTAATTAAATTTGAACTAGAAAAAAATTGCTAATATGCTACATTGCTTGAATGTTTATCATTAGAATGTGTGTGTACGTTTATGCACTGGTTCTGCAGCATTATTGGTGGAATCAGCTACAATTTGTTTTGAAATGTCGCCGTTGGTAAAGAAATAATACTTTCCCCAATACCTTTACATTCTATGTCATTATTCCACCTCCCTATAACCAGTTTTAAAGACTGTTCCCTAGTATAGTATATGCATATGTATAAATGGCTTTCTGAAAAAATATAATTTAAAAATCAAATATTAAATTCTACATGTAATCTAGTTTTTTGTTGTTTTTTTAGCCACAAAACATAGCAGGCCTTATGAATTGAATATTGTTCTATGTAAATCACAAGGTTGGCCAATTAGAAGCTTGTGGACTTGATCTGGCCAACAATGACCCCACAATATTCGAAGCAAGGTATGATAAAAACTTTATCCTCCGTTTCATTCAAAAAAGAAGGAAGCCATTTTCAGATTGCTAAGTAATAAACATGTTTCACACTTTAATATGGCATCATTGTGATTACGTATGTTTACCATATATGCTGTTGTGTCTGAGTGCAGATGTTCTGTAACTAGGAAACCCTTACTGCTAAATGCTAACGTATATGGAACCTAACCATTCATAAGGCTCATGGGAGCAGGGCAGGTCCAAGACATTTTGGCACTTGAGGCAGATCCCCAAATGGTGTCCCCAGTGCCCCCCCCCACAAGGGAAGAAGGGGGTCAGGGTAGATCTATATCAGGAACAAAGGTGGGGGAAGAGAAGAAAGATCAACATCAGGATCTGCTGCGCCAGGTGGACCCTGCCTCATGAGGGGCTGGCCCTGGCGGGGAGGGGTGAATGTCCGTTTCCATGCAAACTGGTATCTAGACTATTGTCTGGCAAACAGAAGAGCTCCCAAGGAACAGAAATTGGCCATCTCTGTTGAAATGTAAATCACAGAATAAACACAGTTTATGATAGAGCAAATCTGCCTATGAAACTGCACTTGGCCTAGTTTACGAAACCACATCTTTTCAGAAAAGCTAAGCAGAGATTTATGAACACACTTAATATCACATAGAAAAGACTTTTCTGAATAAGATGTAATGTTTATTATACCTGGATAAATCAAGCCATAGTTTTCTATTGGAGGAGTGTGTGTGTGTGTGTGTGTGTGTGTGTGTGTGTGTACGTGTGTGTTTGTATATATGTGAGAGGGTTTGTTCTAACACACCTATGTTTAGTTTTCTTCTGTAAAGAAGTGATATTTGGAGACTATTAAAGTATAATGCATCGGAAGAGACAAACATTGCATAATATACATACACACCTATTTCTGTACTCTGGAAAAAAAATTGTTCCATGTTAAATAAAGGTTCACATTTGTTTGAAGCAATGCTGTGGTTGCGTATTTCTGTAGCACAGTGTCTAGAATAACTGAATTGTCTGTGGGAGAGTCTAGTGTCCAGATGAATGCCACAGTTATTATGACAACTGAGTACTGCTCTTTATCCAGTGGAGTCCTTGTTTGGTGTATTGTACCAGGTGTTCCATACTGCTGTGCAAGGTGACAGGTCCCATCAGTGCATCCAAATCATTAAAGAAATCTAGGGAATAAAGCATTAGAAAAACCAATACTGATTACTCCTGGTTACATGATAGGCATTTTTAAAATTTCTAATTAATGCACATAATATATTGGTAACGTAGGCACAATTTAATTCATGGTTAAAGGGTTTGTTTGAGGCTTCTAATGCCTTTACTGCAAGCTTTCCACCACTGAACGATTTTATATAGAAACAATAAGGTTGGTTCCCCAGCCTTTTCTTTCTTAACGGTTCATTGATTTTTGTGCAAAAGAAGAATGGTTACTTGTTTCCTGGTTTACAAAACAGCCCTGATTCAGCTAAAGTTTGTTGTGAGTGACTAAGCCCCATTAAAAGTGCTGAAACAGGAGTTCGTAACAGGCTGTAGCATACCATTCTGAGATACAATTCACCCACATCCATTCATCATGTGGGCTCCAGTTAGCATAGTGTCATTAGTGCAGGTGTCCACTAATGGTCTAATTTTGCTGAATGATTTTCAGTTATTGGAGCCAAAGGGTGTGGGCAAGATGACTGGTAGAGTCTGGACACCTGACTGCTCCACCCTTGCTCTAGCAAGAAGGTGATGTCTTCTCTGGATCCATAAGGTTGTAAATGCCTCTTGAATGAGCAGTTCCAGCTTTTGAAAAAGAAGTTATAATTCAGCCGCTCCTGAAGAAACCAAGCTTGGACCCATATACAGTGGTACCTCCGGTTACATACGCCTCAGGTTACAGACTCCGCTAACCCAGAAATAATACCTCAGGTTAAGAACTTTGCTTCAGGATGAGAACAGAAATCACGCAGCGGCAGCATGGCAGCAGCGGGAGGCCCCATTAGGTAAAGTGGTGCTTCAGGTTAAGAACAGTTTCAGGTTAAGAACAGACCTCCGGAACGAATTAAGTACGTAACCAGAGGTACCACTGTAATGTTATCCGCTGTAGATCAGTGGTTAACATAGCATTTCTAGACAAAGGTGATTGAGAGAGTGGTGACCAGTCAACTCCAAGTCGTTCTTGGAGTTTGGGACTCTGGTCACTGTTTGTTGAAAGAAAAACAGGTGCTTTCTTCCTCATTCTGTGATGCCAGTGGCAAGTCAGAGAGATGGGAAGGAGCATCAGGATAAGCGGCAGAATGAGCTGGTGCCCAATCCTGCTTCATCAGCAGGTTCATGGGTCTAGATCCAAGACCCAAAACACCTAGACTCAAGCATGGGTCAAAACGGCTTGTCAACAATCCTGGCCAATTTTAGTGATTTTCAAACACCTACCTTGGTTTTCCTTGGCAAGGTTGTCAGCCATCTCCCAGTAGTCATAACTGTGCAAGATGCTGTTGGTGATGCTGACGTGATTGGCTGCCATCTGGTGAATCCGTTGTGGAATGCTGATGATGGAGGAGGGGGAGGGGGCTCTAGTGCTTCCCTGGGACCCTACAGAACTCACAGGAGATGGGCTGGGTGAAACTGGAGAGGGTGTTCCCGTATACCTGCAGAACCAAAGTTTATTGAAGGATATTAAAAACTGTGTACATATACTCAAGATACCAGCGGTGGAAGCTGGTCCATTATGGTATAGCCCCACCAGTCTTAGTGTGCCCTCAGCCAGCCCCCACCGGCCTGCCTTATTCTGACTTAAAAACGGGTGGCAATGGCTGACATCCTCCTCCATCCTCCTCCTTCTCCTCGGTCTCCATGTTGCAATTGCAGAACTCAACAGGCAAGAGGATGGAGTTAAAACAAACAAGCTTTGTTGGTGGTATGACTACTGTTTGGGCTCCCTGTCTTCTTGCCCTACCAGTTCCAATGGACACCAGCCACCACAGGATATCAGTAAACATAAATGGTTTCAAGTTCACCCAGGCTAGTGTTCCCCTGACTTATCGACTTCCACATCCTGTCCTTCCTTACAACAAGCTTCATTATTCTTTCCCAATACTTTCTTTAAGGGTTACAAGTTCTTCCTGGTATTTGTGGGTATGTTGCTTCAGAATACAGCAAACCCCCAGCAAGGCAGAGAAAACAGCTCTTGCAGCTCTTCCTCTACAATTTGTAGAGGGCCCAGAAAGAAAGCAATAATGCTGCTGGCTGGAGGGTTCAGTGACGCAGAAGCAAAGCAAAGGTATTTCACGCATTACTATTTAGGAGCAGAGTTAAAGATTCTTAATACTGCATGCAAACAAATATAAAGCATGAATGTGACATGTAGGTTTTCAAAAATGCATGCATCCCAGGTACAGCCTTTGGGAGAATCAAAATAGGAATGTATGTACCCTTTGTTGCAAATTCAGGCTTGTTGCCATGCAATGAGCAAAGCAGTCTCAGAGCCCTTCCAGGTTGCTTTTTATTTTAAATAAAGCCTGTTCATCTGATCAAAGCCCACTGCAATTGTTACAGTTTCTTTATAAACAGCACCCCTAAGTTGCTAGTATTCAAAACTGTTAGCTGTGCGTGGATGGCTGAATGAAATCTTAGCATAGGATAGTGGAGCAATGAACTTACTTTCCACTGGCACCCCAGGGAGACGGTACTTGAGCAACTTTAGATGAATTCTGCAGAGGGGAAAAATATGTTACAAGTAACTAAAGGGTTTGTAATGAGTGCCAACAGGACACAGCGCAGAGGAAAAGGAAGAACATCTTACGGCACAATCCTATACGTTACTCAGAACTAAGTCCAATCACAGAATCATATAGAATCGTAGAATTGGGGGGGGCAGACTTCATGTTGGGAAGGGGCAGAACCTCAGTTAGCTAAGTATTTTTATTGTTTTACTAAATGGGGGGGGGGGAGCTGCCATGTCAATGGCAACCACACATCTCCCTATGATATGCACCTCAAATTTTATTCACAAATCAAAGTGTTCAGAAAAGTGGCCAGTATTGTTTCCAGTATTCAGGAGCAATAATGCCGCCACCCCCCACCCCCATATATTCAGGTTTTCCCAAGACAAGAAGGTACCTTGAAATACTCAATAAGTGCTTTTGAATATTTTACGGCATGGTCTCTTTTGAGTCGAAACATTCTCCAATATAGAATTGCCAGGCAGCGGTAACTATAAGGAAAGGAGAGAGAGAGAACGTTTCAAAGATATCACTTCAGTTTTAATCACCAAGCTAGAAAACATTCTAGGATAAGGATTACTTATTAACGCTGACAAACAATAGTTCGGAAAGGAGATGGAGATAACACAACAGAGCCATCAATGCTTGTGCTGTGTGTGCTTATTTCTTTTGTTCTGCTCTCTTCTCTGGGCAATCGGGAGCTGAAAGCTGTTGAAGCCCTATAGGAAACAAGTCTGCAAAACACGTTTGGACAGAAAAATAAATAAATAAGGGTGCACTTCACAAGCAGTGATTGCACCATCCTATCATCTTCAGGTCTCTGCTAAGACTATCACCTCCTAACACATTTCATCTATTCATTAAATTCCTTCAGCTCTCTTCAGAGCCATTCTCTACAAACACTACAGGCCGGGCTGTGCTCAAGCACAGCTTCTCTGAGCCTGGCACAAGCTCCTATTACTCCCTCTACCACCATGGAAGGCGTTGCCTGTTTTACAAAAAAATGGAGACCCGGTTTAGCTTCTTTCAATTGCCTTTGTTCAAATGCCTTATGTTTCTGGGTGTGTGATTCGTGTTCATAGCCAGATAAGGCAATACTGCAAGTATGTTTATGTAAATTTGGTCATTCCTGGTCTTATGTGCCACACCATGACTGTGTAAACCAGAGTCCTAACTGATTTACTCACATATGTTCCTGAGGCTTGTAAATCCTATTAGCGGCACTGGCTCTTGCCATCTGTGGGATCTTAACGTCCCAGGTTATTTTGGCACTTGTCCCTCCCTCCTGCTGCCAGTCAGCTGCCACATCTTGGAGGAACCAAGGAGCTACTGGACATGAATGAGGATATCAAGAGATGGTAGCATATGTCTCTCAGGTTATTAATCTTAGAATACCCTGAACAAGCACTGTCTGTCTCTCTAGGAGGGAGCTGGAATAAGTGTAAAAGATGTGCTTAATGTGCATAAAATGCTATGTTTGTGCACATTGCGTATGAAATGTGATGCGGAGGTTTGTATTTGCAGAATGCCTGTTTTGCAGAGAAATGCAATAAGTGCAAAAAGGTGTGTTTGCAGCTAAAGCTGCAAAAAGGGGGGGGGTGGAGTATTTCTTTTGGTGTTTATGTTAGTAGTTGATGATTCATCCTTGCGTGTCTTGGGCTCTCTCTGGAAGCTGCCAGCAAGGAGAAACTTGACTATCTGAATCTCCCTCTGGTCCCAGAGACTGAGCTACTGTAATTCACCGCATAATCATCGCCACTGCATCCCTTTCTTCCCACCCTAAAATTGGTCCCAAAGCTTTCACCGCATAATCCTCGCAGGAGAAATACAGTAAACACCTCGTTCAAAACCTGGCCAAGAAACCTGCCTGCTAAGCAGCCAAGGTGCTAAACGCTCAGTGGGGCCTTCGTTTCCCAGCACAATTCAAAGTGTTGGTGCTGACCTTTAAAGCCCTAAACGGCCTCGGTCCTGTATACCTGAAGGAGCGTCTCCACCCCCATCATTCAGCCCGGACACTGAGATCCAGCGCCGAGGGCCTTCTGGCGGTTCCCTCACTGCGAGAAGTAAGGTTACAGGGAACCAGACAGAGGGCCTTCTCGGTGGTGCCGCCTGCCCTGTGGAATGCTCTCCCAACAGATGTGAAGGAAATAAGCAGCTATCTTCTCTTTAAAAGTCATCTGAAGGCAGCCCTGTTTAGGGAAGTTTTTAATATTTAATGCTGTATTGTTTTTAACACTCGACTGGAAGCTGCCCAGAGTGGCTGGGGAAACTCAGCCAGATGGGCGGGGTATAAATAATATATTATTATTATTCTTCTTCTTCTTCTTCTTCTTCTTCTTCTTCTTCTTCTTCTTCTTCTTCTTCTTCTTCTTCTTCGCCATCAACTGCCCCCAACTCCACCCTCCGCCCCTCTTGCTGGTGCCACGGGCATGGCGTCGCTGGGCACCTGATCTCCGTTAGCTCACTCTCGCACCCACTCTCACTTCTTGCTACAATCGACTCAGGCAGCGCCTGGCTGTGCAAGGCCGGCGCTGCTTGGAGCGAAGTGTCTGCCAAGGTGCGAGGACCCGCGTCCACTGTGCAGGGAGGCAGATGAGCAGCCCTGTAATTCACCGCATAGTCATTGCACCCCACCATTTTTGGACAGAGAAATCTGCATTAAAAATGTGACAACCATGCAGTCAATAATATACTGACAAGAAAACTGGACTGCATTGCTAGTTGCTGAAGAGCGGTGTATTGATTTACATTTACAACATTTTTGTAATGCATTTAAAGACAACTTGCACTGAAGCTTTGGAACCTTTGCTTGTGGTGGAGAGGTCTAGATCTAGAAGTCTAGGTCTGTAAATTCTGCTCACGTTACCTCTAAAAGCCAGTAGCTCGTGATTCATTTATGTTATTTGCTCAGTACTTGCTCTATTTAGACAATCATTCTGATTGGCTCCAGCAAATTTTACCATTTGCTGGTATTGGACTGTTTTGGCCTGTTCACACCCCTCCTCAAGGATCAGATTCAGAGACTGGAATATTTATTAGATCTATTTCAACAGGCCTAACTGGTTTCAGTGCCATGGAACACCTAACATCAGCTTATGCTGGCGCACTAGCTGTGGCTTCTCCTAGGGTTATTAAGCTGGAGCTAGTGGGACGCGGGTGGCGCTGTGGGTTAAACCACAGAGCCTAGGACTCGCTGATCAGAAGGTCAGCGGTTCGAATCCCCGTCACGGGGTGAGCTCCCGTTGCTCGGTCCCTGCTCCTGCCAACATAGCAGTTCGAAAGCACGTCAAAGTGCAAGTAGATAAATAGGTACCACTCCGGCGGGAAGGTAAACGGTGTTTCTGTGCGCTGCTCTGGTTCGCCAGAAGTGGCTTAGTCATGCTGGCCACATGACCCGGAAGCTGTACACCGGCTCCCTCGGCCAATAAAGCGAGATGAGCACCGCACCCCAGAGTTGGCCACAACTGGACCTAATGGTCAGGGGTCCCTTTACCTTAGTGGAACCACACCCCAACCTCAGCTGATGCCAGCCAACTCATTTCTCTCCATACATCTCCTTGAGAGGAGGGCCTAACTCCCTCCTGAAAAACCTTTACCTATAGCCAACCACTTCTCCAGATGGGCCAGGTTTGCATCTGGTGTTTAAGACACTGCCTTTTCCTCAGGCTGGAGACCTGGTTGGTCTTGATGTCAGCGGCTGGACTCACCCTGGCTGCAGAAGGCCTTCCTCAGCCTCCTCACTGGATCTGGGATCCCTGCACCCAGAGGGAGCCTGATTCAGGGCTTGGTCCTCCTCTGATGAGGAGTCCAATACCACAGATATGCTTTGTCCAAAGATTACATGTGGGGTAGATTATATCTGGTACTTATCGGGTATTGGTTCTCATCCCCCACTTTTCAAGGCATTTCCCAGTCATCTTCTAAACCCTGAAAATCGGTGTCTTTTAAAAAAAAATGAATTTGCAGAACCCTCTCATCTATTTTAGCTGCACTAAATCTAACGTTCAGGTATGCTTTTGAACAACTCCCCCACCCAGTGAAATACTGGAGATACCCTGAATTGGATGCATTTCACATTTTATTTTTCTTGTAAGAACTGCTGTGTGACTTTCATCTCCACTAGAGGGTAGCCTCTGCTTAGGAGATGAAATAGGTGGCCCTGGTTATGTGTATAACTGTAGTTCCATGGCATCCTGCCCAGCTTGCTTTGTATGAATCCAGGCAGCACAATAGAATTATAGTCCTGAAGTCATTACTCTCACCCTGTAACCTTCCCAGGTACAGTGAATATGCAAATGAAAGCAACTCATCCACTATGTGGCAAGCCGTGAGTTAGGAGTTGTTATTCAGTGCTGCTAAGAGAGAACCCTCCCTCCACTTTCCCTCTGTTTGACCTTTCTTTTTAATGAGATGCAGTACCTTTTTTGCATTTGGATTAAGTCCCACTTGCTGGTGTGCTGCTGCTAGCTCTATGGAAATGTTTACAATCTCCAGTCTCTCCCCACCCCCCACAAGGTCACTAAAACAAAATTCCTACCAATTAATTTTCTCCACCAAAGGAAAATTATATTATCTTTAAAGCTACATTACTCAACGTAATTTTATCTGGATGGTTAAGTTCAGTAAAAGGCAACTTAACCCCTGGATGGTTAAGTTCAGTAAAAGGCAACTATGGGGTTGTGGCACTCATCTCACTTTCAGGCTGAGGGAGCCGGCATTTGTCCGCAGACAGCTTTCTGGGTCATGTGGTCAACATGACTAAACCACTTCTGGTGCAACGCAACACCGTGACGGAAAACAGAGAGCAGTGGTACCTATTTATCTACTTGTACTAGCGTGCTTTCGAACTGCTAGGTTGGCAGGAGCTGGGACAGAGCAACGGGAGCTCACCCCATCACAGGGATGTGAACCGCCAACCTTCTGATTGGCAAGCCCAAGACACTCAGTGGTTTAGACCACAGCGCCACCAATGTCCCTGTAAGCTGTATCTTATTTTAGTCTAGCTTTCCCTTCAGTTCACATGTTAGTTTAAGAAATGTTAGCACTAACAGAATATAATATTGCAGTCAAAAGAAAATTTAGGCTGCAATTCTGTACACACGTACCTGGGAGCAAGTCTCACTGAATTCAGTGGGACTTACTTTTGGGTAGACATACACAGGAGCTAATTTGCTCAAGCTGGGAATTTTAATACATGAATATGGGGAGTGGGGAGAATGGGGTGCTGAAGTTGGATGGTATGACACTACACTTAACATTGCCACTTAGAAAATCGAGAGACGTCACAGTCAAGCCTTCAAAGCGAGGGAAAGTTTTTTTTGTTTTTTTTAAATTTCCTGACCATTGAATATAATTTATGAGATTATAAATGGAAGAAGCAGGAACTGAGTCACAGAATAAAGCAAGTCTTTCAAATAAATAGCAATTTACTAACCATAATGTCGTTAACTGTTTTTCTTCTGGAATGGCATTAGGGCCTGAGTGGGGTTTTAGCCTCACAGCGTACCTTCAAAAGAGCAAAAACAAGGACAGTAAATAAGGTCAACATGCATTAATGGTAAAGCACGTTTATAATAAGTGTCCAATAATAATGGAGCTGGGCTGATTTATGGCACTTGATGATTTACAGCACAATTCTGTGTATCTTATTGCAGGAAATTCTATGAATTCTTCTCAGAAGCAAGGCTCATTAAATTCAATGGGACTTACTGCTGGCTACCTCTATACCAGATTACAGCCTTAGCATGTCACATTTTCTTCTTCTTCTTCTTCTTCTTCTTCTTCTTCTTCTTCTTCTTCTTCTTCTTCCGCCTCTTCCTCTTCTGCTGCTTCTTCTTCCACCATCAATATGTTCTACCCTCCTCTTTTAAGTAGCAATTCCTTTCAGTGCCACTTGGGCCGTGTGCCTGCCTAGTTTTAGTCCAGCACAATAATGCCTTTAAATAGCTATTCATCTGCACTCTGCATTTAAATCAGTATCATACCACTTTAAACAGGATTCTTGCAAAGAATCCTGGGAAACCAAGTTTGTTAAGGGTTCTGAGAGGTGTTAGAAGACCACTATTCCTCTCCCAGAGCTGGAATTCTCAGACTAGTTTAATGATTAATCCCTCTTCCCAGAAAACTCTGAGAAGTCTAGATCTGTAAGAGATATATGGGTCTTCTAAAAACTCTTAGCACCAAGTCACAAGCTTTTGAGTGTGTGGAATGCACATTATCAGCCCCTCCTTTAAACTGATCATTGCACCTGTACTGGAAGAATCTCAACAAAATGATGAATTCCACAAGCTGGGGTGTGCACACACAATATTGCAGTTAAATTTGGGCACCTGTGCAATTTCTGAAGAGACTAAGGGTGGCTTTGCACTCCCCCCCCCCTTTTTGCAAAATTCTCTCTGAATTGTCTCCCTCACCAAGCAGGCAGAAAAACACGAGTGTAAGGACATCATGTCTCCTATTAGTAAAGTCTAAATTTACAGCACCAGTTTAATGAATCTTTGGTGCAACTTCTTTCTGGCAGGGTACAAAATCACACTGAGTGAAGAAATCTCTCTAAAAATCAAAAGGTGCCTGGACAAACTTCATAACGGCTATGTACAGCGATACTTTCCAGTGATAATGTAACTTAGGCAGGATTAGACCTAGCAATTAAAAAGCTTTCTGACAGTGCTATCCTATACGTATCTACTTAGAGGAAGCCCCATTGAATTCAGTGGGGTTTACTGCTAGGTAAGTGTGCACGGGATTGCAATCTTCAGTGATCTTATAATGAATTGCCACCTTATTACTATTTCACTACTTACAATTGCCGTCCATATTTAGAAGTATTCAGCTATATCCATGACAAAGGATCTAATCAACGGTCAGAATATCCTACTCAATCTTACCTAATAAGTTCAACTGTTTCTGAATACATTGTGTAGGGGGATTTGGATTCCATGGGTCCTTGTTCCATAGCATTCCCACATTCAATAAAGGATAGTGCAGCTTCAGCATAATTTAACGCCTTGCCAAATTTCTCCACCTGAAGACAAGAATGCCAGCAATCACAACAAATGGAGAGCATTATATACACATCCTAGAGCTGATACAAGTTGAGGGTTTAACTGCACATGAAATTAAAACCAGGGTTAGTTCTGCTTTTAAAATAAAATATTAAGTGTGGGAGAGCAATTGTCCTGAACTGGTTGGCTCATGATTATCTCAAGGAATGTCTCTTCCGAAGTGATTCTCCCCTCTGCCTTAACACCTTTTAAGAAGGTCCTGCACCAGATTCCAGATTCCAGCTAGATTAGCTTCCACAAAGAGCAGGACATTTTCAGTTGCCACCCTGATGCTCTGGAATTTTCTTCCAAAAGGACTTCACATGGCTCCCTCCTTGTTGTGTTTCTTGGAGTGGCATAAGGCCTTCCTCTTTCAGAGAACTTCTGTGAACTGTTTGCTCCTAATCATGGTGCTGTCTACTCTTGCCGTTTTTAGATATTGCTACTCTTTTACTGCCATATGTTTAGCTGATAGTTAATCAGTTTTCTTTTGTTGTTTTCAAGCATGTACTTCACTATGAAAATGTTACAGATAGCAGCGTAATTTCAAGGTAAATAAATAAAAGTTAAAACAGAAACAGAACTAAGCAAAAGACTGAGAAGAAAAAGGAAATTTAATGGACAGAATTTAAGCAGGGCTAAAATATGCACAAGTGCGCGCACACACACACATATATCTCACTTGTGTGCATTTATGTGTTTGTAAAATTGGCAGTATATAGCAAAACAAAACAAAACCCACAAATAAAACCAAATAAAAAAACCAAATTGAAGCCTCTGGTTTATTCTAATGGATAATTATGAACAAAATGGTTTCATTTAACGTTATATAAAAACACCAGACTAGTTAAATTAAAACCTATAATTTTTGTGGAAACCATCTAACAAAAGGCAATGCTGTGTGCTTGGGTTCTGAAGCCATTATCAGCAAGCTCCCTTCCGCTCCTGGCAAGCAGCAGTGAAACTTGATGTCATGAAGCCAGGCGCACAAGTCTGCCCTGCTGACCCTCGCTGACCACTGTTGGAACCAAGGTCCACTGAGATCAACAGATGAGGATTAAGCATAATACAGGTGCATATATTCAATGGGTTGTATCCAGTGCTGTCCTTCCAGTCACAGGAGGTTATTTGATCCATCAGAGGCTTCTGTGAATAGGAAGGGATGTGATTTTCATAAATTCTCCCTTTCGACCACAGACCCTCCCACCCCATGCTACCTCCTATGCTGCTGCAGAGGGTTCCCCAGTCTTCAAGAACAGATTGGAGAGGGCCCAGTGGGCGGTGGAGAAAATGAAATTTGGATGCAAACCAACCAACCAACCAACCAACCAACCAACCAAGGCCCTCTTCCGTCTGTTCACAGAAGCCTCCACTGGATCAAAGAGCTTTTTGTGAATGGAAGGACAGTAATGCCTATAATCCTATAAATATAATACTAAAAACTAACTATTCATTATTTTATTTTGCACAATACACACACACACACACACACACACACACACACCACTTGATTGTAATGGAGCCCCAAACTGGTTTACGAAAAGAACATTAAGGTTATCACAATGGTTGAAAACGACGACTTAAAAAAACTAACCATGCATTAAAAACCAGATTAAACACATGCCAACATTCTACATGTCTAGACAGGCTTGCCTACTTTGCAAAAATTATAAAAAATAATTTTAAAAAGTTTTTTTGAAAATGCAGGGATACGCCAATAAAACACTTTCTAAACGAAAATTGAAAACTCAAATTTTAATTTATCCAAGAATGTATCAACTAATTAATCTCAGATTTCTTCAAGGCATGCTGAACTACACACATAACATTCCTTACTAATAAAGCTAGTTATCATCTTTTTCTTTTTCTTTAAATCACCACTACTTAACTTTCCTTGATGAAGAAGTTGCATTACACAGATATTCTGAAATAACGTGTCAAAAACTGACTTGTTCTTACCATTGCATCCGCTTTATGCTTCTTCCTTTTAGCTTCTTGCATAAAGTGTTCCACATTGTGTGGCCTAGAATGCAACACAGCATAAGTGATTTGAGTTACTAGATTCGTTGAATATTCTTTTTTTCAGCTATATCTGTTTAAAAGAAAAGTCCTTAATGGTTTATTTCAAAAGAAACAAATACATGCTGATAAAAAATGCATTTCATGCATTTTCAAATTTCGATTGGAGTTTCAAACACGACACTATGGAATAAGCCCTAAAAACAACCTGTAAGTAAATCTAAGGTGTTTTTTTTTAAAGTAATCAATTCTTATTCCTCAATGTAAGATGTAAAAAATGTACCTGTGGTTTCCTGACACCATAGAATTTCTAGATTGTAACTAAGAGATCCATAGTTAAATATACAGTACAAGGGGAGTACCCCCCTCCCCCGCTGTAACAACCTGGGCTTCAAAATATGGCACAAAGAAGATGAATGTTAGGGGGGGACAACAGGAAAAACCAGGAGAGGAAGCCACTGTTATGTTGTTTATGGTAAGGAGAAAGGAACAGTGCAGATCTCTAGACTGCCAACTGGCAAGCAATCTTACCAGCAGAGGATGGTGGGTTGAGGCAGAGGTGCTTACCTGACCTCCCCGCAGATGGGTCAGTTCTGCTTACTGGGAGGGAGAGTGGGAGGGGCAAGGTGCAGGGAGGTCAGCACTGTGCAAATGCACTGGCAGGAACATTGTAACAGCTCCACCAGTGTGTCTGCACAGAGCCAACCTCCCTGCCGCCTTCCCCTCCTGCTCTCCCAATGACTCACCTGCCAGGAGGTCAAGCAAGCACGGCTTCCCCATCTCTCCCAGCCACTATCTTATAGTCCATTTGAGTGTTGGAAATGGCTGCTGGAAATTATGGTGGATGCAAGTGAAGAAAAGTTGGCTGCTTGTCCTATCTACAGAGCCAGAAATCCAAGACGTTGGTCTAATAAGAGGCTCAGATGGTCTTCTGGCTGGCAGAAATTGACAGCAGTGTTATCCTTTTCCACCAGGACTGCTGGAATCTGTAGTCCCAATACCATCTCTGGTGGAAAATACTCCACCAGGGACCTGGCTACCAGCTGCAGAGTGCCTTCACCACCAGCTGTCTCCTTTTTCTGCCCCAAGGGTTTCAAGGGAAGTAACTGGGTCCCTGGAATAATGAAAGAGGGAGATGGTGGTGAAGGGTGCTTTGTGGTTTATTTCAAGGAGGGTCTGCTCACAGAACCCTCTGAGTAGAGTCCTGTTTGATTTGGACTTACTCATAAGAAACTGAACAGGAAGCAAGCACCCCATTTGATTTCTTGCAATATCCCTTAATAGGAAGATAGTAGCTATTAATATGCAAACCAAGCCAAATTCTGTGAACTATTATACCAGATCAGCAGGCCTCAGAATGAGGTTTTGAGTCCCCAGAAACGACTGCAGACATTGCCTCTTTAAGGAATAACTGTTAATAGGTTATTTGCCTTAAGAATAATTTCTAGTGTGAACCCTTAAAATAGCTAATCACAGCAATAATCATAACTTTGCAAAATACGTTTTAAATCAAACAAACAGAAGAGGCCCTTCATTCTTGTGTAGTATAATTAAAAACTTCCCGGGGACAAAAACGTATTGGCTCAAAATGTTTCTAATTAGTATTTATAATTGCTATTATGAACAATGACAGGTCAGACTACACATGTTGAATGATCTCTCCACAAAAAGCTCTAAAACTTTGTACTCACTTTAACAAGGGCAATCTCCACACAATATCCGAGGTTAATCGAGGCTGAAATTATCAAACAATTTACTGCCTATCCATAAAGAAGTACTTTTAGCTGTATTGCTACCAATTCCTCTAAAACATTGCTCCAAGACAGCAAGGAATAAAGCATTTCTACTACTTGCTATCTTCTACAGACAGTCAGACACATATAAGTTGGTATGGCAGCAGTATTCGCTTTGAATTATTCTAAAATAACTGGTTTTAGACTGTCTTGTGTACCAAATGCAATTTGTTATAAATTATGCAGATAGATGGGTAGGGGAATTAAATTCATGCAGCAGGGAGGTTTTTTTTTGGATATACAAAAGTATTTATTTAAATAAAAATACAAGTATGCAGAGAAACAAATATATCCCGAAGTCAATGCTATGTATTTACTGAGCGCACTGCAGCTTAAATTTTAATATAAAAATTTAATTGTTAGCTTCATTCAAATACTCGCTTTTCTCCCGACATATTTAATTTCACAAAGCTGTTGTGTTTTCTTGTCAATTTACACGGGCCATATCTTATATTTCACTGCAGAATAGAATTTTACAAGGGTTCATTAAAAACACTAATAAAATCTCAATAAACAGCATAAACAAACTTATTTTCAATAAATATGGAGAAATGCACATCCTGACGTTATTTAGAGAGACTCATTAAAACAAACCCCCATCACAGCAGTCTATAGTGCATATATTAAAACACAATAAAACTGGTTTTCAGCTGATTCAGGTCATGCCCTGAGTATGGAAGTCTTAGGATGAGTTCACACAGATGTGTTTACCACCTGCTGATGAAAGAAAGTATGGTGTCTCATCACCATAGGCACGACTTGTATTATCCAATGTTGAATCAAAAACAATGCTTTTCAATGGCGCTAGTTCACATATTCAGTTACGAACCATCAAATTGGCAATACAATTATTAAATGAACAAAAAAAATACGAAATTAGAGAGCAAGTAATGACAGGCAAAAGCAAACTTGTAATAGATAAATGTAGATACTTATATTAAGCAGAGTATCTGTATATGGCTGTGCTGTGAACCACGCCAGTACCCCACAGTTACTGGGTTACTGGTGAGCTTAGGGTTCAGAATGGTGGCAGTAGAACTGCTGTAGACGAACAACTGGAGGAGAACTGAGTTTTCTTATTATAGAGAAAGTATGTAATTACCACCTTCCCTTCACAAAAGCAGCAACACTCGCAGCCTGAATATCAGAAATAGAGGGAATGAAACATGAATCTCTAGAGGAAACCACCCCCTCTACTCACCCATCATTAAAGATAAGCTTTGTTCTTCTACAGTCTTTGTGCATAATAGATACAGGTGACCAGGGCTCCTTTTGGCACTGTGCCTTGCTACAGAGTACAGAATTTTCTGAATTGATGTACATTGCTTTCTGAAGAAATAGTAAAGGAGGCAATCAGAAATCAGTTATAAATTCACTCATTTTCCCCCTTTTAAAGTATTCTTAACTATAAATTAAGCATGCAGCAGATTTTTTGTAATAAAAAGGTTAATTATTTTTATGAAACCTTAAACAAAATCTGCTGCCGGATTAGTTGGGGCAACTTTTTAACAGATAGCAAGTTTTTTCCCATAGGTTAATAAACTAAACACTGCAGTCTAATATGAAAACACATGGGAATGTTTGTTTCACTGAATGAAGAGGAGCGATTTTTAACTGCTCCTTGATTAAGAAGAGGCTTGGATGATTCAAGGGGAAGCTGCTGAACTGGGAAATGGAGAGCAACCTTGTATGTCTGCATGCTCTTGTGCATAGGCTTGGGCTGCACATGCATAATTATGCACACAACATTGCTGCTAATCTTGCTATTCAAATGTGTGCTTATTTTACAGATTTATACCTTGGCTTTTCATTTCAAGTCAAAACACCCCAAATGGCTAAACAACAACAAGGATTACGCAGAATCACATTTTAAAAAACAATAATAAAATACACAGATGACTAGTGGATAGAAATTAACAAAAATGAATGTGACGGAAGCACTAAGTTAAGCAACTCATAAGACCAAAGCCTTGCTGCTGCAACAAGTTTTTAGGTTGCACGGCATCAGAAGACTAGGAGGGAGGCCAGCTGCATTTTGCATGCACACTCTGCACTGCCACTGAGAAGGCTCTCTCACACCGTCCCAAATATGACCCATAGCTCAGACAGAAATGAGACTCACGGACCAAAAGTAGATGGGCAGGTTTCTAAAGCAACAGGTGCTCTTATTATGGTAAATACGTTGTTATCAAAACTTACATTGAAATCTCCTTGGTGCAAGTGGGAACGACTCTCATTCTTGTGTTTTTTTATTGAGGATATGGAAGATAATAGGTTGCCACCCTGAGGCTTGCTAGAAGAAGTTAGATCATCACCAGAGAATTTGTGCTTTGATGCATCAGAGATGGGTGAAACAGGCGATCGAAGCATTTTCTCATTTTTATTTATTGGTGTTGCCAAGCTGGAAATGGAAATTACAGTAATGGATGGTCACAAATGCCACTTGGGAGGAAATAAACATTTTATATATTATGAACACTATCCGTTTCAGTTTACTGGAAGGATGAACTCTGCTGACCAATGTTTCATCTGGAAACAACTTTTGCAGCATGAGGATCAAAGCTCTAGATCGTTGTTCTCTTTTATTCTAGAAGCAAACTAGAATTCGGTGGTTAGTATCTATCCAAGTACTTATAACAGAAATGAAGAGTTGCTAGATATTGTTTTAAAAGATGGTTGGAAAATAAGATGAAGCTTTTAAGAGTAGGTTTAGGTTATGGAGTACAATTTTTCAATCACAGGTGACACTTCATAAGTCAGGCTGATAAACCTCATGTTGGCTGAAACAGAGAAATGTGCTTCTAAGTGGCTGGAATTTCTCTGAACTTGCTGACCAGGTTCTGATAGTGCTGTTAACTTAATTTGATTCAGGGTTTGAGGAGAGCGAAGTATAGGCTCATGGAGCTGGTAAAGAGCAAAAAGCCAAAAGAGCACAAAGAAGGAAATTGATAAATATGCACTACAATGCTCTAAGTGCAGCTTTCTCCACAAAATCAAACCATTCCGGCATTCTGCAGTATGCTGTTACTTATTGCTCCTAGAGCAAAGTTCAACAGACAATAATTTTTATCATTTGTTTCTGTTTCACAGCCACATTGTGGCCTAGACATTCTGACCCAGAGTAACATTATTTAGTGGCAGAACCAAAAGACTAGAACACAAGTGTTCGACATTAATATTGGGTCAGGAATAGAGAAATCAGTTTATTTCCTGTCTGTGCCATTAAAAATAAAAAATAGGCACAACGTTTCACACATAAATGCTTATTTAAATATGTATTTTTAAAAGCTGAGGGCATTCTATCATTTTATTTATAAGAAAATGGTTAAGACTGAAATCCTGTACCCATTTACCTAGGAGTAACCCCCAATGAACTCGGTGAGACCTACTTTGAAGTGAACATTCATTGTGCTGTAAGAGCTACTGCTGTATAATGGTTAAGGCAGGAGTAGCGATGCCGTGTCCTACAAACCTTGTTGAACTACAGCTCCTATCAGTCCCAGCCTGCATGGACAATAGTGGAGGGCACCGTGTGAGCTACACCTGCATTAGAGTGTTAGACTAGGACTGGGATAGAATCCCTGCTAAGTCATGGTGCTCTCTGCATGGCCTTAGGCCAGTTGCTCTCTTTCAGCCTAACCTATCCCACAGGGTAATCGTGAGGATAAAATGAGGGTCAGGAGGGACTAGGTGCACCACCCTGAGCTCCACGAAGGAGGTATGACATAAAAGGGCATAAATTAAGTACTGTTTTTTTTTTAAAGTTGAGAGCAAGGAGCATTTCATAGAATCCTAGAACTGTAGACTTGGAAGGGATCCCAAGGCTCATCCTTCAGTAACTCAATGGGATGATAGCACTGCTGCAGGTGAGGCAGCCATGCTGTGAAGCTCTTTGCGCTCCTCACAAAAAGTGCACATTTACAAGAGGATGGAAAACGCATATTAAAATGTTTGCATTTTAAACTAGCAGCAGAGCACTGTTTCGGAAGCACGGTTTTACCTTTTACACATGTCCACGTTGGAGTAGGCTATATGCTGGGTGATAACCTATAAAAAAGGCTTCTAAATTATGAAGCATGGTGCTTCCAGATTTTAAAGACTAATAAGATAAATTAATGAACAAAGAGAGGACCTGCTAAATTAACTTAGAACACTAAAACAGTGCTATAAAACGAAGTATATTTTGCCCCATATTTTTTCCTGACTAGATTAAGCACATATTGTGCTCTATTGCATCTATAAAGAGGTAAGAAATACCCATAAAACATAATAGTCTAGCTGGAAGACAACATGGCAGGGTAAGACTGTGGACTGAACAGTCTGCTAGCTCTGAGTTTATAATATGGTTTTTCATTTCTGTAACATTCTGGATTACATTTTTTTTTTAAAAAAGGCTTTAATTTTCGAGATAGTGAACTTCAAATTACATCATCAGTACAAGCAAAATGTCTATTAAGTAGTATTTCCCCCCAAAATCCTTCAAGGAACTATCTCTGTCATGGGAAAAATCCTTCTCCCCGTCACAGAAGAAATATTTTTCATTGAGAAATGCAAATCTTCCCCCTTCCTTGCACATCATTTGAGATAAGCGCAGTCCTAATTGTACAAGTCATGCAGTATCGCAGCTGAGTTAACTGTTCCCTAATGGCCATAACACCACTTGTGACAGCAAACACAATTCTCTAGCGCCATGCCAGCGTCATTTTGTCACCTTCTCTTAATTTACACACAATATGGACAGAGGCACCTAGACACTGGCATATGCTGATGACATCAACACAAGCAGCCTGTGCAAATGCCTGTCTGCCTTAGGGAGGAACAGGCCACAGAGGAACCAACAGGCCCTGCAATGAATTCCCATAAATAAACCCCACGAAGCCCAATCCCTAATAGAAGTATATCAACATATGAATCTGCCTTAAACAGAGTCAGGCCACTGGATCACTCAGCCCAGTACTACCTGTTTCAAAGTGACTGTCCAAGGTGTCAGGCAGAAATGTTTCCCATCACCTGCTATTTTTAGCTGGAGAAGTTGGGACTATCTGCATGCATATAATGTGCTCTACTGTTGAGCGATGGCCACTTCCCACATAAATTTGCCACTGAATAATTCTGGTTCTCTTGTAGCACCAGTGTGAACTGCAACTTCAACCATGCTAAAAAGGTTTACAATAGATCATTTAAATTGACATCTGCAGGAATCCAGTGATATTCGAATAGCAGTCTCAGGTGATGAGTGCCACTGACAGAGGCGTAGTATGTGTGTGGGAGTGCCAGGGGGGTTGTGGCCCTGGGTACACAATTTTTGAGGGGGCGCAAACCAGGCACCCCCACACAGGCGACCTCAGAGGAGCCCAACCTTGTGCTCCTCTTCGCCTGCCAAGAGCCAGCTGGTTGAGCTCCCCCTGAACAGGTAGGCAGGCAGTTCAGTGTGGTCATGCTCTGCTTGGTTGCGCGGGCTAGGCTGGCATCACTATACCGCAGCCACTGACAATCAAGATGAAGGTATCAGCATGCCACACCTCTAGAAATTGTTTTAAATGATTGCATCCTGTCCTACCCTGAAGGTTCAAGCCAAGTGGCAGTTTTAAATAATCAGTTTAACATGCCCCCTTTTCTGCTGCACATATTTACAATGCTAAGATTTTTTCATATGCCATAACAACAAATAAATATTTTGAACGAAATCCAGTAATTGTAAGTAGAAGTTAACACATTTTGACAGTAAATTGCAGCAATATGCAAAATCATTTCCCTTTAGATACCAAGTATCATTTACACTGAATTTTAAAAGACCGAATCTCATCTAACACAAGAAACACATACCTGTTTTTAATCATATTGCAATTATTTGGTGCAGAAGCAACTTGGGCCGAAGCAAGTAAATGTGAAGCGCACTCTTGCTCAGTGTGAATCTTCTTGCTCTCCCTGTTTTCTTCCTCATTTTCATACTAAGGGAAGAAAGGGGTCCATCATATATCGATTTGTGCAGGTAATAGTATAGACGTTGAATATTACTATTTATTGAACACTGTAGTGCTTACAAATTTTATATTTTGGTAGGATGCATGCATGCATGTTCATGTATGTGTGTGTGTATGTATGTATGTGTACATATATTAAGTATTAAGCCATGTCAGTTATTCACAATTAGGAACATAACAACTCCTTCTGCGTCAACATTTGTTTATGTATATTAGTTAAAGGGCACATTGTTTACTTTCTATAGTGGTCCTTGACATTGACTCCTGTCAACCTGGAGCTCCTCTGACCTTAGCGCCATTTCACTCTGCCTCATCCCTGCCCCAATGAGTGTGGCATCACTGCTCCCCAACACATAACAAATCACCAGTGCATATAGGACTTTTGGGGAAAATCAAGTGTATGTGATAAATGTTGGGGTCCTGTTGGCAGGGGGACCTGACAAGGCCCAACACTGCTGCCAGCCTCCCCTTCCCATCCTAGCAAGCAGGAGCAACACTGTCCTAGAGAAGGTGGGTACATGGCGCTACCCCGATAAGCTGGGTGATCCTGATCAGATGGGTACTCTAACTTTAGGGTCAAGTTAGAAACTGTATGCTAAACAGAAATGTGTAAGGGACTCGGATGGCGCTGTGGGTTAAACCACAGAGCCTAGGGCTTGCCGATCAGAAGGTCGGCAGTTCGAATCCCCGCGATGGGGTGAGCTCCCGTTGCTCGGTCCCTGCTCCTGCCAACCTAGCAGTTCGAAAGCACATCAAAGTGCAAGTAGATAAATAGGTACCGCTCCAGCGGAAAGGTAAACGGCGTGTCCGTGCGCTACTCTGGTTTGCCAGAAGCGGCTTAGTCATGCTGGCCACATGACCCAGAAGCTGTACGCTAGCTCCCTCGGCCAATAAAGCGAGATGAGCGCTGCAACCCCAGAGTTGGCCACGACTGGATCTAATGGTCAGGGGTCCCTTTACCTTTACCTTTAAACAGAAATGTAGGCCTCATCTGCATTACTTTTTAAAAAAATAATAATAATTCTAATCTCTTTATAACTTTCAAAGTTCTTAGGGGATCATTTAGGGCAGGGGTGTCAAACTCAAATTCATCGGGGGCCGCATCAGCAGTTTGGTCACCCTCATGCGCTCAATATAAAAACAAGTGGAGGTTTCCTGAATGCATGTAAAGTGGAGGTTTCCTGTGTAGAACGGCCGGCGCTGCTAGAGGGCAGACGTTCTCTGGCTTGTAGGCTGCCGCGCATGCGCTGAGGAGGCGGCTTTCTTGTGTCAAAAAAAAAAAAAGCGAGAATAAAAGGTGAAGGCCGGCGGCCGCGGTGGCTACACGGGCCACACGACAAGGTCTGGTGGGTCGGATTCGGCCCACGGGCCTTGTGTTTGACACCCGTGATTTAGGGGTTTCTCCTAAAATACATGGAATCTTATTTGCATTTGCAGAGAGAGACAGGAATGGATGAATCTGTCAATTTTGGTTTCTCTTACTTTCTCATTTTTCCAACCTTAACTTCAGTTTACCCCATGCCTGCTTCAGTTTGCTGCTTTTTTTTTAAAGGTCCCACAAAGTTTGTACACATTTTGAGGCATTTCCCTTCTAATGTGTACTTTTTTGCAAGCAATTTTTGTACAATGTTTTCACTAATGTGTTCTTTTCTGTGCACAGTTACTCATGATATGTACTTTTTTATAAAAAAAACTTTTTTTGTGCTTAAGAGCTGCATTGCAGAATTTGGAGGAGGACAAATTTCAAAGGACAGCTGTGCTTCAGTTCACATTTTGGTTTTGAAATATGGTAGGTTTGCAAAATGTGGATGGACTAAATTTCACCTCCACCACCCCTGGATATGCTGTGAGCCACTATAGTGACTGAAGGATAAGGGCTGTAGACCCAATGCTACAGCTGTGTTGGCACAACAGACTTCCATGAATGCAATGGAATGTCCTCTCTTGTCCCCTCTATCCCCCTCACACCATCAAAATCAGCTCCAGAGGGTTGGGGGACCCTCTGGAGCCGACCGTGAGAATGAGGGGGTGAGGGGAAGAGGAGGAAATGAATGTCCTGTTGTGCAGGTAGAACTCTGCTCACATAGCACTGGATACAACCCAGGAAACTTATACAGTGGTACCTCAGGTTACATACGCTTCAGGTTACATACGCTTCAGGTTACAGACTCCACTAACCCAGAAATAGTGCTTCAGGTTAAGAACTTTGCTTCAGGATAAGAACAGAAATCGTGCTCCGGTGGCGCGGTGGCAGCAGGAGGCCCCATTAGCTAAAGTGGTGCTTCAAGTTAAGAACAGTTTCAGGTTAAGTACGGACCTCCGGAACGAATTAAGTACTTAACCTGAGGTTCCACTGTACAGGCATACACTTTAGATGCAACCAAGCACTTCCCTTTAGCCCTTTAAAAATTAAAAACAAACCTAAGGAGCCTACCTTCCGTTTCCTTCTAGATTTGGGGATGACCTTTTCTGCCGGCAGATCAGTAACAATGTTGTGCTGCATACTGATTGCTTCTTTAACTCCAGCATTAATTTGCAGTGGCTCCTCAGGTAAGTGCTGTGGAATTCTGGTCAAAAGAGCCAAATCAATTTTGACCCAAAGTGCTTTCACTTCGTCTGTGTCTTTCAGGGGAGATAGGAGCTCGTTCCGACCGAATGGAACCAGGGTGTAAAACTGCTCTTCCAGTTCCTTTGCTATATCGTTACTAGTCCTGGTGTTAACTGAACCAAAGGCACTACAACTGCTGTTTGGTTTGTTGGTATTATTACTCCCAGGGTCTTTCAGCTTCTGGTCACTTCCAGCTGATGCTGAGGTCACAGTCTGAGGCTTATGTAAAGGGTAATCCTCTTGTTCTGACTGAGAATCTGTATCTGAGGACGTTGAAGACGAAGAATCTGTCTCAATAAATTCCTTGGATTTGGGTGCTGTTTTACCTGACCCCCTTGTACGCCTCTTTTCACAGACAGCACGTGTTTCCTTCCTGTGCTCAACTTTGTTGTTGCAAGGCCTGGTTTTAGGTTGTTCACATGTGCTATTATTTTCCAAATGTACTTGGTTCAAGTCAAGATCATCAGCTGCATGGCCATTTAAGATATCACCACCAGAGGTCCTCTCTGTCCTTCTTGGCTGTTTTTTGCAGGCTGTCCTCCTCAGAGGACCACTATCTCCAGAAATGGCAGCAGCCGAAGGAGGCGATTTCTGCTTCCCTCCTTTATGCCCCGGGGCTTTGTTAGCTGTCCTAGGCCTCAGGTCCTCCTTGCTGGGATTCTTAACCTCTTTATCTCTGAGACCGGTTTGGCAAATGGGAGGTAAATGTTCACAGTCTTGCCCTTCATCTTTCCCTTTGCTGTAACACTGAAAGAGCTCCAGTCCGTTTTGGTTCAGAATAGGTGCCTTGTGTGAAGTAACCTTATTTAACCATTTATCCAGCTGCCACTTGTTTGACGATGGCTGTTCAGGCTAGGAAAATAAAGTTTGAAACTCCAAACATTTCATAACACTCCAGCTTATACAGTAGAGACTTTACAGTGCTTTTATACTCTTAAGGAACTAGTTATTCTTCTCATGGCTAGCAAATAACAATATTATTTAACTAAAAAGTATGGCTATTCTATTATCATAATAGACTATCCATCACTTCATTTCCCACAGTGGCAGCCAGATTTCTCAATCACTCACAAGCAAAACATGATGGGGATGGTCTCCTGGCTTGAATACCAGCATCTAATATTCACAAGTGCATCCCCTTTGTACATGGAGATTCCATAAAGAGAACTACCCTTCATAAGTTTGTCCAGAACTGACTGGGGCTCCTCTCAGAATAGAAAAGGGAGGAAACCATATGAAAGACAACATGTACAGTTAATGACTTTTATTAGTATAGCGTAGGCATTGATTAATGGTGTTCCTCCACTACCAACAGAAACAAATGACCTTAGAAACAAGCATGAACCACTGAATTCAGGCGGAGTTGCAAGGTTGAACAGATGTTACTCTTCAATCTTATTCAGAAACAAGAACACAAAGCCCCATCCAAAGGAAGTATTCCTGTGTTTACTGTGAATATTTAATAACTATTTTTTATCTCTTTTAACAGCACAATCCCACAATGCCTATTCAGAAATGGCCCCCACTGAGTTCAATGGGACTTACTTCCCAGGAAAGTGTTCAGAGCAAGGTGTGTTTTCCAGGTTTTCTGGACAAAAACTAAAACAGGGATATTGGCAGCTGTAGTTCAGTGGTGTCTGGAGTGCACTTTGTTGGTGTATAGGAATACAGTGTAAATATATTATTTTATCCCAGCTATTATCTGCTGTTTGCTTTGCTGGTATTGCTACTTGCTTTTCATTTTTTTCCTAAATGGCCTTAAGGTCATTCATACAAGGCAGTAGATAAATGTTTTAGATGAATGAATAAAACTGAGGTTTAGAAGCTGCAAGTTTACTACGAACAGTGGTGTAGTGGACCAGGAACATAGGGGAGTGGTCCTTTTGTCACAGGAGTGAAACGCTATAGGAGTGGTGTTTGCCAATGTAGTAAGCTTGGGGGGCGGTGCTTGGAATATAGGCTATATTGCATTCATACTTCATATAGGACACACTGCTAAACATGCACAGTGCTCAGCCATGCCCTGAAATTTGCATAAAAGCGTATGCATTCTTTTATTTTAGTCTCATAGGCTTAGTGGCTCAAGGCTGCCTTGTGTTTCCAACAGGGCTGAAAATGATTTTTTAATAGTGTTTTCCCCCACAATTCCTCAACTGCACAAAATGCAGGCATGGGGAAGTCACCCACCAAGATGCCACATAAAACCAGTGCTTTTTTCTACAGTACTGGCACCTCCCCCCCCCCATGTAAAAAGTGTGTTAAAGGTGTGGCACTTACGGTAACAACTTCATGGTGAGATCTGGCACCTTTTTTTTTTTTTAAAAAAAGCACTGCATAAAACCTCCTTGATCCTCACTAAACACATTACTTGGGACAAAGGTTCCACTGATTCGGAAACTTAACTTCACTCAACGGGAGTGAAAGATGCAGAACTCCTTACCTCTGGGCTGGAGTAATGAGAGGGCTTCTTGCTGTCGCTCTCGGTAGAACTGCTTTCACTCTCTGAGTCGGATTCTGAACTGCTCTCAGATTCACTGGAGCTGCTGCTGCTTGAGCACTTGCTGGTGATCCCCGCGATCCTGCAGCTGGACTGCTGCACAGTGGTGCTGGCAGACCCAAATAAAGGGTGGGAGGGAATGGGGAGAGAGAGGGGAAGGAGGGAGAGAGAGAGAGAGAGAGAGAGAGAGAGAACGTAAATCAAGGCACATGTCTATTATACCCTATAAAAAGAACTTCTGTTTTTGCAGGATTCACACTAATGCAGATGTTAGCAAACAGAGGCCTGTTGGAAGAATTTGTCCAGAAGGAAGTTTAGCAATGGTGGTCGTATTTAAATTAAGGCGCAGCATCTACCATGCAACTTTCCACATCATGTCAGCAGGACAGAGGAAAACGTAGAGCTTGCAAAAAGAGGGAAAGGAGGGAAACAATGTGTGTGTCCATTAGCGATACCAACAAGTTCCACAAATAACTAGGCGCTGAATACTCCGACGTTGGGCACAAGGGCAGGGCGATATCTGGTTTTCAACATCGTGATATATCATCAGCTAAACATCGCAATATACTGATATATCATGACGTCTGAAATAAGGATGGAACTATGTAGAGGTGAGGGACGTGGGTGGCGCTGTGGGTTAAACCACAGAGCCTACGACTTGCCGATCAGAAGGTCAGCGGTTCGAATCCCCACAACAGGGTGAGCTCCCGTTGCTCGGTCCCTGCTCCTGCCAACCTAGCAGTTCGAAAGCATGTCAAAGTGCAAGTAGATAAATAGGTACTGCTCTGGCGGGAAGGTAAACAGCGTTTCCATGTGCTGCTCTGGTTCGCCAGAAGCAGCTTAGTCATGCTGGCCACATGACCCGGAAGCTCTACGCCGGCTCCCTCGGCCAATAAAGCGAGATGAGCGCCGCAACCCCAGAGTCGGTCACGACTGGACCTAATGGGTCCCTTTACCTTTTTATGTAGAGGTGAACAGGGCTGGGCGATATCTGGTTTTTAACTTCACAATATACCACCAGCTAAACATTGTGATGTACTGATATATCACAATGTCTGAAATAAAGATGGAGCTATGTAGAGGCATTGGCTGGCTTCATGGTTTTTCCTACACTGTCATTTTTGCATCGCGCACGTGCACACACACACACACACACACACACACACACCATGATTCGCAATATATTGTCAGGTCAAAAATTATGAAACTGCTATCATGATAAGGACTTCAAACCGGTTTTGGGTGATATATCTATATATTGCCCAGCTCTATTGGGCACAATCGCCCTCAAATCACTTGCTCTGTTTGTATTGATAATGAGACAACAACCTGTTTCTGCACCTGTGCTACTGGTGTTCATCAGACTAGTCTGGTGAGTCCAGTTGCTGCTGCTGGGGCATGCTTGATTACTTTAACCTATTTCCCACCTTGATGAGGAGTTGTCCTTCCTTGCCAAGAGTTGCATTTTAACCCAGTCTGTTGCTGGTGGGCACGTTCACGGCTTCCCAGTCCAAAACCAGCTCCCCAGCTCAACAATGCCCCATTTCTACTATGCTCAATGGTGGCAGCTACCTGCCATCTGCCAGGTAAGACTGCAATTCATGACACAACAAGCGAGTCAAGTCAAAGGGTCCATCTAGTATTGTTGACACCTATTGGTTGCAGTTTCCCAGGGTTTGAGGCTGGAGTCTTTCATAGCCCTAACCCGAGATACCAGGGATTGAACCTGCAAAATACAGGCTCTACCATGAATTAGAAAATGCTTATGCAGCTGCCCAGCAAACACAGACATCTATTTATTAAATTTATATACGGCTCTACAACCAAGGATCACAGGGCGGTTTGCAGCATAAAGAGACAAAAATATGTGACATAGTAACAAACAAAACAATAACACACACACCGTGCACACAAAGTGTTTAAAAGGCCATAGATTGTTTAATTAGTCAAAGACCTAGGAGAAGAGGAATGTTTTTGCCTAGAACCGAAAGATATGCAACAGGGGGCCAGGCGAACTTCCCAGGGGAGAACACTGCACAAACAGGGAGCCACTGTAGAAAAGGCCACTTCTCATGTTGCCACCCTCTGGAGGTTGCACATGAATAAGGGCCTCAGATGAAGATCACTGGGTCCGGGCTGGTTCATATGAGGATAGGTGGTCTCTGAGGAATTGCAGTCCTGAGCCATTTAAGGCTTTATAGGTCAAAACCAGCACTTTGAATTGGGCCCAGAAACTAACTGGCAGCTAAGGCAGTTGGACCAAGATTGGTGTTAGATGCTCAAAGCTACCTGGCTGTTGAATACTGCACCAGCTAAGGTTTCTGAACTTCATCACAAAATGATCACAGGGCAGGTCGCAACACACAAAATGACCCAAAAACAAGGCACCTGAAATTCATGGTTCAATTCTGTATACAACATCCCTCCTTTGGTCCCTCTCAATAAATAAGCCAGTATAGTGGTACCTTGGGCTACGAACTTAATTCGTTCTGGAGGTCTGTACTTAACCTGAAACTGTTCTTAACCTGAGGTACCACTTTAGCTAATGGTGGCTCCCGCTTCCGCTGCGCTGCGGCGGTGCTATTTGTGTTCTCATTCTGAAGCAAAGTTATTAACCTGAGGTACTATTTCTGGGTTAGCGGAGTCTGTAACCTGAAGTGTCTGTAAGCTGAAGCGTCTGTAACCCGAGGTACCACTGTACTGAAGATTCAGAACGCCTGGCAGAAGAGGGATGTTTCCATATGTCACTATAAACTAGCCATTGCCAGCATCTGGCTAACTTTAGGGGGGAAATAACTGAGGTCCCACGACCACCAAAGCCCTATTACAAGTCTTACTTGCCTGGGCTTTGCTTGCCAGCTGCAGCATTCTGCCACACTGCAGCCACTCATTCCTTCAATAAGGTGGAATCAATGAGAACACCCAGGCTATGCTCCTTCAGGGAAGTGCAACCCTCTCCAGAACAGGTCACTCAGCTAATTCCAGGACCAAGGAACCACCAACCCACAGCAACTCCAACTTCTCAGGATTCAGACGCAGAACAACAGCAGGTCGGCTGTGGTATTGGCATGGCAATGAGGCTGTGGGTGGGCCGCAGCACCAGGGAAGCATGGCCGTGTAGGGATGCAAGGTTGCAGTGGTGGGAAAAGCAGGAGGAGGCAGCAAGCACCTGGTGGTAGCAAGGAGAAGCAGGTGGGGGCACAGTGGGGGTGGCCCTGAGGGTATTGCCCCAAGCTGCATAGCAGAGTTCTTTCACAAACAGAATGAAAAGTCGCTCGCCTTCCAAGCATCTAGGATTGCGAATTTAGATTCCCTCCCTTTCAAATTCATTAAATCAAAGTGATTTCATTAGTCACAAGTATTTAGTTATAATCTGCCAATGACAACATTATAGCTCTGTAAGTGCCTGGATATACTGTACATTTAATTACAGTTCATGATTAATTCTTCCTCAGTCAAATTACTTGAACTTTATGTTTTGAAAGTGTATATGATCAATGACTTAATATTTCAATGCACTGCTATCGTCCTGAGTGTCTGAAAGGAAGTGACCACTTAAGTTTTTCAATTGATTTCCTGTGCAGTTGAAGAGTCTTTTACACAGTCTAGCACATAATCTGTACTGCTTTCAAATTACTCAGACAAAAATACATTCTCCCTACCTTATCCAGGGGAAAAGGCTCAATAGTTTAAAACATATCATTGGCAGGAGATGCCCATCATGCTTAGCACCAGTACCTTCATATAATTTATTATCTTTAGTCTATTTCCATACACAGTTATCCCACAATCCTAAATCTTTGCCTGGCTAGCACTGAAACCATTCAAATCTGAAAAGTGCTATGACTCTTAACACACCAATCCTAAACACATTTACCTGTCTCATTTATTTCAAAGAGCTTGGGAGAAAATGTACTTTCGATCGCTGCCTTTCTTGTTATCGCTCAAGCCTAACTATACATGCCCAGATCTTCATGTCTTTTCTCCAAAGTCAATATCTTTTGGCTGTGGTTAATATTCATTGCCCTTTTCTAAACATACAATTGGCTTATATGTTTCTGATAGGAGGACCCCTCAAAACTGAATGCAGCCGAGTTCTCACTGGAATCAGATACAGAGGGCTTATTAAGCCATGCTGTCATATTCTGCCTCAGTGTAAGTTACACAAAACGGCACTGACCTTTTGACAGCCAAATTCCTCTTGCCCAATGAGATCCATCTTTTAGCATCCCTACATCCAATTTAAGAAAACTAACACAGACTATTCATGCATTTCATCTAATTTCCCAGTGGATATAGGAGCTTTATTTTCCCTCACAAACTGTGTTACATTTTTATTTTTTGTTGCTTATTTTCTAGTTCATTTGCACCTTGTGACCACACAGCGGAGGCGCCACTTTCTCCAGAGCATTGAGGGGCATGGCGCATAGCTGCATGATGTCCTGATGTTGCTGGGGAGGGGGGCTCTGAACATTGAGGGGGACTGGCCCCTTCCAAAGAATAAAATAAAATAAAATAAAAAGACCATGGGGAAAACATAGTGCCCTAGGCCCTGGAAACCAGTGCCCTTGCCACACAGGGAAATAAGGCAAGATGCAGAAGGTTGGGTGAACTGGGCCACATTTATTTAAACATTTCAATCTGTATAGGGGAACAAGGTGTGAGATCTAATTAATAACAAAAACTGTGGGTGAGCTAACGCTGCCATTGACCAGGAGTAGCCCATCCTCTACCTGCTACCGTTCTGCCCGAGGGTCTTCTGCTGGTTCCCTCACTGCAAGAAGTGAGGTTACAGGCAACCAGGCAGAGGGCCTTCTCAGTAGTGGCACCCGTCCTGTGGAACGCCCTCCCATCAGATGTCAAGGAAATAAACAGCTATCTGACTTTTAATAGACACCTGAAGGCAGCCCTGTTTAGGGAAGTTTTTAATGTTTGATGTTTTATCGCTTTATTATTTTTATTAATATTCTGTTGGGAGCTTCCCAGAGTGGCTAGGGAAACCCAGCCAGAAGGCGGGGTATAAATAATAAATGATGATGATGATGCCCCACCCTTTCAGGTGACTGGGGAGGCATTCATGCGCCATCCCTTTCTGGGGCTCAACAACTC